CTTACAAGTTGTTACTAGTAAGGCACAAATATGGCAAACTAGCAACAGTTGAACTGAACAATAGAAAAGTCCTTCATTCCTAATACAGCTGGATGGTCACTGCTACTAACTTAGTCCTGAATAATCCAACAACTGAGGCATCATTTTAACATGCACTGGTTAAGTATAACCAGTATCATGCCAATTAACCGACCAAAAGAAATAACACTTCGAGGTTCGTTAACGCACAACTTGATCACACAAAACTGTGTTACCACTGCAGAGCTCAGCAGCAGCTCCTTTAGTCATCCCCACTCTGGTACTGAGCACACGACCTCTGATGCACTTGTTTCCTTTGGTTCACTTGCTGAAATTCCACTTGTGTGTAAATGATCAGTTTCAGTTTGTTCTTCTCTCCTGGTCTCGTGTTAGCATCAGCACTTATCAACAGGTCAGCACCACTGGATTAAAATGCTCTTTACTCACCTGTTGTCATCTTCAACCTGGTGTCAGAGCTCTGCTGATGCTGTTTTAGTATCCAGGCACATTCTTTAGGTGGGATTTTAGATTAGCTGTAGTCTGTCCACAGACTTTTGTCTTTGTGTCTACATTTTTAAGTATGTCACTAAAATCTTTACACAACAGAAACATGACATTTTTGGTCAGCATACAAACAGAGATCTTTACTCATGTATGAATCACAACCTTATCATTGGGGAGGGGTTTGTACCTCAAGGAGTCATGTTTTCCACAGCAGTGGACCATGATGCCTCCGTCAGGACAGAGTTGGGAGGCTCAGGCCTTGGGGAGGGGCTCATCAGTGAGGGTCTTTGGCCTTGATTGTCATGGGCCAGCCCTCCTGCCATCCATGCAGGGGACCGTAGGAGGAGGACTTGACAGTCAGAAATTTGTGTCATGGTCATCCTCTCTGTGGTGGGGAAGAGCTGGAGCTGAAGCATGAAGCTGAGACACAGATACAGGCTCACCTCAGAGTGCAGCTTGTGTTCTGGAAACGAGAAAAGAAGCAAGAACAGAAGAACGATGGGTCGAGTCTCAGAACGGTCACATTCAACAATCCTAGTTTTTCCAAGAAAAGAACAAGTTCATCAACTGATTGTTTATCAGGGACTGACTAAAATACCAAAGAGCAAAGCTTCCTGATTCATAGTGGATGGAAATATTCAGATGGTTTTTCTCAGCTGGCTGGA